CCTCTCTCCATTCCACCAAGCAGGGCCATCCTTGGTATCTCTTCATCCTCATCTTCTTCCCAATGGGAGAGCTCTTCATCCTCATCTTCTTCCCAGTGAAAGAGCTCTTCATCCTCATCTTCTTCCCAATGGGAGAGATCTTCATCCTCAGCTTCTTCCCATTGGGACATGCCCTGGACACCACAGTCTTCCCCAGAGCACAGCTGGGAATAATCTTTGACCTCTTCTGGGGAAACCTTCTCACCCTCGTTGCTCTGCCCTTGGGACAGCTCTTTGTCACTCTCTGTTTGTGACAGCTCCTTGTCACTCTCTCTGTCCCCTGCACTGCTCTCAATGTCCTCTGGCACTGGGGACAGCTCCTCATCAGTTGGGCTGTCCCCTGAAATTACCTCAGTGCTTTCTTCCGCTGGGGACCGCTCCTGACCACTCATGCTGTCCCCTCGAAAGACATCGATGTCGTCTGACACTTGGGACAGCCCCAGGTCACTCGTGCTGTCCTCTGCAATGTCCTCAATATCCTTTCCAACTGGGGACAGCTCCTGGTCACTCATGCTGTCCCCTGGAATCACCTCGATGGCCTCTTCCATTGAGGACACCCCTGGTTACTCCTGCTGTCCCCTGGAGAGAGCTCAGTGGCCTCTTCTATTGGGGACAGCTCCTCATTACTTGTGCTGTCCACTGGAGAGAGCTCACTGTCATCTTCCACTGGGGACAGTTCCAGGTCACTCCTGCTGTCCCCTGGAGAGAGCTCAATGTCCTCTGTCACTGGGGACAGCTCCTGGTCACTGTCACTTTCCCCTCGGGACAGCTCATTGTTATGCCATTTTCCTGGAGCTGTGCCCGTGAGGCTGCGCTCCATGACTCGAGCCCCCGAGGGGATGGGTGGCACAGGCTGCAGCTGCCAGCTTGGGGACACATGGGCTGTGCCCTCCTGGGCCACCCTGAGCGGGGGCAAGAGCACCCTGGGCACGGGGGTGTGTGGCTGCCCAGGACAGGGGCTGCAGGGCTGGGGCCCCTTCTCTCCTGCGCTCCCCAGCTCTGTGCCCTGGCTGTGAGTGTGCCTGGGACTCACCAGGCAGGGCAGTGGTGGCAGTGGTGGCAGCTGTGGCAGCAGTGACAGCTGTGGCAGCCGTGGCAGCTGTGGCAGTGGTGGCAACTGTGGCTGCTGTGGCAGCGGTGGCAGCGGTGGCAGCGGTGGCAGCCTGTCCCCACAGAGGGACAGGGCCCGGCTCCGGCTGCCCTGTGGTGCTGCCTGTGGCTGCCTGAGCTCCACTGGTGAGACCAATGGTTGGTTCAGGTTTTTGGGTCCCACCTTTGGCTGCCTCACCTCCACCGGTGGCAG